AAGACAAAAATGTAATTAATTCAGAAAATCTTTTCAGGACCCCATCTTGATTTTTCGGGACCCCACTTTGGGTCCCGACCCCAACTTTGGGAACCACTGCTCTAAAGCACTGTATCAGTGTTTACTGAAGTATAAATGGATAGAAGAAGAAATGTGAAATACAAATGCAGTTCTCGTTCCCTTTTCTTCTGACTGCATAAAAAGAAACAGAATTTAATCTGATTTTATGCATGTAATGAATGGAGTGCTTTTTATTCTGAGGTCTTTTTTAAATAAGAAATTTGGAGGAAAAAAATCACAATATATCGCCTTGCTTATCGCAGTATATCACTATATCGTGACCCCTTGTGATCATATTATCAAATTCTTATCAATACACAGCCCTGATCAGCTGTATGTATGCATCTTGTAAGTTTCAGTAAAGTTCAACTGGTGTTTTGTGAGATATTTTGCTAACAGTGCTCAGAATACGTGTTGGGATCGTGCTCAGCTACCACCACATTAAATTATAGTTCAATAGGGCGTGTTGAAGATGATGAGCCTGTAATCAGGAGGTCGCCGGTTCAACTCCCTGGACTGACAAAAAAAAATCTTGTGAGGAAATGATCATTTGCCCCATTCTGGGCCCTTGAGCAAAGACCTTAACTCCCACTCCCACCCTCCACCCCCCACTCTAGTCACCTTAAATGGCAGCTCTCTGGAAATCTGCAGAGAGTACAATAAAGGTTATTAATAAAAAAAATACTGAGTTAAAGCATGTGTTGTTCTTAAGGTCAGCTGACCGTTTCACCTTTTGACATTTAAAGTTAACTGGTCAAGTTAGGTTTAACTATTTAATTGCTTAAATACCTCATAACGTTTTAAAAAGCAAAGGTTTGACTTGAATATCAACTAAAACATTAAAATTCTAATTAACGTTTGGGTCATTTACACAATATTCTGAGGGGGAAAAGGAAGACGACAGAAACTTTTAGATGTAGATAGTTTTTAATAAAAGAGCGACTTTTTTCCCCTTTTTTTCTGTCCTTCAGATGTTAACAAGTGAAATGACTTCAATAACGATGGTCCCAACTACAACCCCTGGAGCTCAGTCGGAAAAGATTTCTAATTTGATGATGATGATGATGATGATGATGATGATGATGATGATGATGATGATGATGATGATGATGATGATGCTTACATTTACATTGGAACATTTGGGCCAAAAAGAGCAAAAAATTATGAGTTTCTGAAAGACCCTCGTTTCAGCTCTTTTTGGCCATATAATAAAAAATAATTTCCGAAATTCTTTAAAAACATGAATTAAAAAAAGCAGCTGAAACATTTTTTAAAGAAGAGGTCATAACAGTGTTTCTGCTTCATCCATTAAATCAGCAACATGCGCTTAAAACTCTATCAGAAAGTCAGTTTATCCAGGTTAAAATAAATAAATAAATAAACAAATTAATAAATTAATAAATAAATTAATTAATAAATTAATTTAAAAAAGAAAGAAAGAAAGAAAGTAAGTGTGAAGAACGCAGCAGCACATCCAACAGATCTGCAACAAAATACAAAGTGGAGCAGATGTTTCATTCTGAAGGCGTCAGGAGTGAAAGACGCGCTCAGAAATGCGCTCCAAAGCTTCGTAGTTTGCGCCTTCCCCCCCTCCCTATTTGATCTCATTTAACGCACTGGTGTTCAACCTACCTGCGTCCAGAAAGAGTCCAAATAAAGTCGCCAGAACKAGCAGACGCATTCTCTCCAAAATGACGCCGGGAGGAGAAACATCAGACAGAAATCCTGGGGAAGGCGCTCAGAGGGAGGACGCTGGAACCCAGACCCGAGGAGGAGGAGAAGGAGGAGGAAGGAGCCCACTCATCCTCTTCTCGGCTGCCTGGATGCTTGTTTGGAGAGGAGGAGGAGGAGGAGGAAGCAGCTCCGCAGAGTCCGAGGCGACTGGAGACGTGAGGCTGCCGGAGCTCAGAGATCATAAAGCGCGCACCACGTAGGAGGAGGAGGAGGAGGAAGCAGCTCCGCAGAGTCCGAGGCGACTGGAGACGTGAGGCTGCCGGAGCTCAGAGATCATAAAGCGCGCACCACGTGACGGGAGGCTCCCTCATCCCAACACCAGCTCCAATCTGACTTTTATTCTGAGCAGCTTTTATACAAAAACTCACTTTTTACCTTTTTTTTTTTAAATTCTGATTTATGTGGATCCAAGTGCGGCTGAACCCGTCCTGCGCACATTTGTTGCTGTGATTAAGATGAATGGTTTTCTTTCACCTTTTTGCGTCGCTGTTTTACGTTTAATTAAGCTCCTCCGGAGGCGCAGCCGCATTATTCCGCCTCTAAAATAGAATCATCAGAACATAAATCCTACTTAACCTCTAATTTAGACCTAATGAGGCCCTCGCGCGCGCGCGCTCCGTGATCAATAACCTCTTCAGTGTGCAGAAACGGGCTCATCCAGCCGTGCGTAAAGCTGAATAATTACGCACCGAGGGACTAATATGGCGCCGAATTCCTCTGTGGTGAGCAGRTTTTCTACACTTTGTTTAAAATCAGTTTGTAGAAATTTAAAGAAGGAAAAACAACCCAGCAGCAGCTCAGTTTGAAATAGGAAATATTTTATATTTATTTAGGAAATAGTTACATAAAATACAATAAAGTCTAGTGTAACAGACAAAATTGCACACAGCATCAATAATAATAATAATAATAATAATTTTAAAAATGACCAAAGTAACACTGCTGGTTTCTCTTTACAAAAGGAACGTTTCAGGAAGAAGAAAGGTGACAATCATGCTACAGTCCGACAGTACAAAATGTGGGTATAAATACTGAACACCTAGAAAAATACACAAGTCCTTTGTCAGATTTTTTTTCATACAATAATTACAGTTTCATAGAAAAGAAACAGAGAAACAGTCGGCTCTGTTGATTAGCACCAGCTGGTCAAATTCCTGACTGAAATTTGGTGTCGTGTTCACCTAAAAAGTTCAAACACGTCTCTAAAACAAAGTGATAAAATAGTTTAGCTCTTCGTCATCAAAATATTTGTTTTCTTTTCACCCCTCCCGTAAAGAGTTCAGTAATGGTGCGTTCACACCAAACGCGATTTCAGCGTCAGGAGCAGCATTAGAAACGGTGCACAGTATTTTTCAAACAGAAGACTTGAAAGTTGGTTGAACGATTTACATTTTCTTTTCTCCAAAATCAGCAACATCTGTACTGATATTAACTTATAGGATTTCTTTTATATATATGTACAACATAATATACAGCTATGAGAGGAACACAGTAGAGGTCAGCTTCACTGTTACGCTACATCAGGAGAAAACAAGCTAGAATGCATGATATCAGATTTTCAATAACCAAAATAAAAAAAAAGTGAATCTCATGTCAAAATGTACCTGATGGCTAAATCCTACAATCGTTTTGAGTCCAGTATGTTTCCCTGAGCTACCAACAATTACAGAGAGTTGTTTGTTGTACCACACTTACAAACCAGTCAACTGCACGGTTTCCACACTTTATGGGAATTTGAACTTAATGTTGGTTAGTTTGTGTCTTGCCTGCACCTCATTTCATTGGCGTGTGATGATGTGGCAATCAGGTTTACGTTAGGTCGTGTTTTCCTAAACCTGACCAAGTAGGTTTGAGTTTATAAACTGAACCGAGCAGATTTAGGGTTCCTAAACCTAACAGAGTTACAATCTGGCTAAAAGTTGGGTGTTATTCTTCCACTTCACTCTCAGCCTAGACTTTTATAGTCTTCAGAAAACAAAAAATGAAAGGCTGATTCCATAAACTGCTGGAATATTCTGAGGTAACGYGTCAACGACTCATCAAACTCAAAAATTGTCTCCATTCTTTTTATTTTATTTGGCTAAAGACAAAACCAAATAAAACCAATTAAAATATTAAAAATGAACTAAACCTTGTTCAAACGTTTTGAAAATATTGCTTCAGAAAAGAATAATCATAGTGTTTTTGTTTCCAGAAGTAGTTTTGGGCCTTTTTTATYAGTGACACAAAGTGGAAGTTTTAAGAAAAACAATTATATATTTGCCCAATATGTTTGCTGAAGTTTCCCATCAGGGCTGTTTAAATAATCATTCGTTTTGCGCTTTTTAGTAACTCTGTATAAAAAATCAGCTAAAATGTTTTCATAAAATCTACACTGATTTCGAGGAAAAAGATGCTTGAGTTTTTATAGTGCTGCAAAGTGCTTCATTTCATTCAATTAAAGGGCTTTGTTGTGGAAAYGGCTGCTAAGGTCCAAAAATGTTGAGACCAAAACCAACTATAGAAACCAACCCAGTCACTCAAGTAAAAAAAATGAAGAAAAGTAAAGGCATATGCAGCCTTCACTGTTTCAATAAAACAAACCAGTTCACATTAAAAAGTTTTAAGTTGGTGATAGAATAAGTGCTGAAACCTTCACCCAGTAAACAAAGGTTGCTACCTGATCCGTTCCAAATCACCTTATATTTGTCCTAAAAATACWTTTAAATCTGGTTAAATTTATGGACCAAACCAGCTTGGTTAGATTTGGGAGATACGTTTGGTTTGTTCTTCAGAAACCTCGCAGGTTTTTCTACAAACTGAGAAACTGAACAGTCTTGTTTTTTGCCACAGAAAGGTCTAGAAACTTGTTGGTGACCTGGCTGCCAAAAAAAAAATCACGCTTTTCTCACCAAAACAAATAAAGAAACATTAAAAAAGACTTGAAAATCCACCTCATTCATCTGTTGTACCATTCAGTATTTCAAACCGTAAATCCACTGAGTTATAAGAGGAAAAAAAAATAAAAAGCTCGACCTCCTCATACACCGTTGGAGCCCTGGCTGGCACAGGAGGAGAAACTGTCGTAGAGCGAGTCACTGAGTGAGCCCATAGGGTCCGTCCTGGTTCTCCCAGCGAAGCTGGAGGTGGACAGGGGCTCGTCGGCTCTGCTCCCCGTATCGCCTCGGAGGCCGGCCAAGCTCTTGTCGGGGTACGAGCCGTCGGAGCTGCTGTGATTCAGGTCGTTCAGGGAGACGTCCAGAGAGGTCGGATGATTGGGACTCGTGGGCGTCTTCTCCACTGGAGCCTCTTTCTGTGGGTGAAACAAACTTGTGTCAACTAAAAACACACTGGATACTTGTTAGCTCATCACAAACAAGCACTGATGAAAACTGGACCCAGGATAAATGTGTTCTTGGACACTTGGAGCTGACTTCTACCTCAAGTCTCAGGTTGCAGCTTTGTCCTGCGAAGCAATAAAACGGACAACACTTGAGAGAATGTCAGAGATCTATATTGAGATTTTTACCGCACCCAAGGATCTTTGATGTTGCGCCAACGATCGCGAGGACTCCCCAGTTCTGATACTTGTCTTAATGGATCTTTTAGAAACTATCTGTTCCACAGATAAGCATTTAAGACAAATGTATTTTAAATAAAACTCCACGTCACGTCAAGTAGCAGGAGGAGTTTTATCTAGAGGGCAGTATTGATTAGTCGTGACTGTCCACAAAGTGTTGTTGTGGGCCTTACCACCAGACCGGACCACGCCATTTCAGCCGTTGGGTCTCTCAAGGGCAACCCCCCACCCTTCCCTTCTTTAGTGGTGATTAGACTCAGCAAAAAAAGTGCAAAAGGCTGCAATAAGGGACCYTGCTGCTCTGTCAATTTGTCTACAGAGAAAAAAACAAAACAACACCTTAAAATAGGTGCTTTTTGTGTGTTGTTTTTTTAACGACGTGCCAACCGTTAGCGTCCTAATGCACGTCTCAAAAGGCTCTTTAACAAGCTGTAGCCCTCAGCTCTGCCTCTCCTGAGAGGATATAAACAGCCGTTCGAACAGTAACTGCTCATTTTCCAACAGCAAATCGAGCCTGCGAGATATCTCAGCAGCCATCGACGCCCGTGTTTTCGCCGGAGAGTGCAGAGAGAGCGAGCTGCAGGGGACAGGCAACCTGCCGGGGGGGATGGTGCAACCCGAGACCGCTTAGCGTTTCGCTCCTGGGCGGATGGCATCAACTCGTAAACTGCATTAGTAATAATGCTCAGGGAGCTGCGAGGCTGATAAAAACCTCCTCATGTCAGTAATGAAAGCTCTTCTTAAAACTTTCTTAAGTGTGCACGTTGTTTTTTAGATGACCCCAAACATATTTTTGTCTGAATACACTCTGTTGACCAGGTATCAAGATGTACCGGCTTTAAAGACAAGTGAGTTGATTTTATGTTGTTTTTAACGGGTTTAAACTTGCATTGTTGGGTTTTTGCAATGTTTTACCAACAATTATTTAGACACTTTCAGTAAAATGGCACTAAAGTGTTGGAAAAAATATGCGTTGTTCAAAATGGTATGTCCGAATAAACAGGATTCAGCTGGATTTCTTGTTAAAAACTTTATTTTCAGTCCTCTGACTCCAATCAGGTTCATACAGCACTGAGCACACAGGCCTCAGCCAGACCTTGGGCTGACATCAGGAAAACCCAAACACAGCAGCGCAACTCTGCTCAGAAGCAGAGACTCTAACACCCTGACAACTTTCTTTCTACTATAATAATGAATTGAGCTTAAAATGTATATCTCTTCCTGGTTACACCCCAGAGGTGTTACCTTTTACGTCAGACGTCAGAACATCACTCAGTTTTGTTTAGGCTAAGAGAAAGAACACATGATAACACACCAACTCTTTGTCAGCTTCAACCTTACAGACTGAAATGATCAGAAAGTATAAAATACAAAATTGAATCTAATATTCAATTAATCAGTTAAAAAATTTCTTCAAAAGGCTTCAACTGTGGTCTAAAAAAGTAACCATTTGTGGCCATTTCTTGGCAATTTTTTTCTATGAGAGCAGCCAGTGTTGAGCACGTTGGCAGGATGTACCCAAAGTTAGAACCAACAAAAAAGTGATAGCAGCAGGTATAGTTTTTTTTTTTTTTTTTTTTTGAACGGTTTTTGCAAGGGAGTTTTTAAAAGATTTGTGATGGTTTTCCATTTCTTTGTGAGTTGCAAAAATTTTAAGGCAATTTTTTTCCCTCAAAATAGTCACAGGGTCATTGTAGACGTCAAATGCTCGTCTCACACTCTTCTCAATTTAYCCTKATGCATYTCAATAAYCCAGGTATAAAAATAAAAGGTTGAGTAGGTCATCTGGATGGTTTCTTCTTTGTTGAAATGTTTCGTCTCTCTTCCTTCTTCAGTCTGAGGAGTTACAGGTAAACTCAGCCTTATAAGCACTGCCTCCACAAAGTGGACAAAGAGGTCTAACAATGACCATCAACACTGTTCACATGTAAAAAGAGAACCATCRGCCTAACAGTTATAAGTGCTCTAATTATCTCTATTGTTCACAGGGGGATGAGTCWTACTGGCAACAACAGCACTGTAAGAGGGGGACAACTGGACGTGACCACCACCCCCTGTTTAACCACGAGCAGTTTCTCTTGACAAAAATGGCTTCCGTTCCTCCTCTCTCAAAGCAACATAACTCTCTATCAAAGATGAGAAATTCTTCATCCTGGAAATTTAGTTTTGAGACATGAACGCAAATGACTGAAAAATGTTTACCCTAGTTTTACCGTGAGTTCGCAAAAATGCGTCACTCAGTCAAATCCTGGCATACAACTTGGCTTAAAGAAAATCAATCATGTACTCATTTATGAAAAAGGTTCACTATAAATGTGTAACTTATGTTTTAGGGATTATTTTATTGGCTCATGTATGGTGTTTTCTTTTTTACCTGAACAGGACAATGGATGAAATTTAGCATTTGGCTAATGTATGTGCATTTAAACACCTAAAATATTCATTAATGTGCACTGTCCTTTTATATGGGGAAAGTTTTGCACAATTTCTAATTATTTTGCATCTCCGATTCCCATGCTACATTAAACAGGTAACAGCTTGAGCAGCACTTGTACTGAAGGAAATAATTCCCTAAATGACCAAAACCTCTAAATTCAATAAAGTTTTCTGTGAAGACAGGTCCTTTGAGACCAGATAAAATGTTAACGGGTCCAGATATGGCCTGCGGGCCTTGAGTTTGACATGTGCAGTAGGTAATCAACATTAGTTGACTCTAAAATGACTATAACGCTGTCAGCTTGACAGATATTTGGCTAAAATTTGGTGTGGTAATAACCGATAGTCAGTCCCAAAACATATTTTGAGGACTAATAGTTATGGTAAGATTTTGTGATAATGTGAACTTGGTATTTTCAAGATTTGACCAAAAAAAGCTAAAACTTTAGAAATTTTCAAGATTTTTTCATTTCAAAATAAACTAGACTTTTTAAGTTTTAGTTACTCACTTTGTTTAGCCACCACTATAACTTAATTAGGGTTAGGAAATCATCACTTTGTTTTTAAATGCAGCTTTTTGAACAGGAAATACCTAAAAAAGCACGTAGAGAAAGTTTTGTCATCCACCTGTGTGTGTGTGTGTGTGTGTGTGTGTGTGTGTTTGGCTCCCGTTTCAGCACAAAAATAGAAAAGGTTTGAAGAGTGCTGAAGATTTGCTGGTTTTCCTCTCTCTCCTGAGTGGATTCATCTGCCCTGCAGGTGTGAGCCACTCTGTGATTAGAGGGCTGGAATGAAAGCCCGAGGACACCTGAGAGGCCTGAGACGAACCGCAGCTGAACAAAATCACAGCTAGAAGATTCACGAAATTTGTTTTAGCAAAAAAACACCACAAACAATCGAGAGTTTTCCCCACTTTAAAGTGCCCTGACATCGTTTCTATTTCGTTWTTTTTGTTCACATCGATAAAACCTAGCTGAATTAAATTAATGTGAACCTCTGCCAGAGAGCAAATCCAACACAAATTTGTGAGTGGTGTTGAAGGGAAACGTGTCTACAGGTGACGTCTGGTTTTTGTGCAGGTGCAGAGGTTGAAGCCATTCGACGTGCAGGTGGTAAATGTCGTTCAGACTCGCCAGCTTTTAATTCACCGCCCACACTTTGCTCTTTGTAGGATTTTCCTTTTTAGACGTCGGATCAATGCCGCCAATGAAAATTATACAGCCTAGAGGTGGAAGAAAAGAGTTGTGAGGATCTTTGATTTAAAAATAAATAAAAAAATGTGTGACACTGAGGAACTTTAAAAGCAAACGGAAGCAAAAGAAAAGCGGTGAAATCTCTGATTTGGTTTTGGAAGAACGCCGTTTACCAGCAGATCTAAGCCTCCAGACGCAGGCGTCTGCCTTCCCCACCTGCAGGTGCAGCTAAAAACGATGCCTTTAATAAGTGAGAAAGCAAACAGGTGTCTCCATGACAAAACCRTCTCATTTGAAAACATTAAAGACACAAATCGACAACTGGTTCTGTARCGGGGGTGAAAACTTTAATTTAATAACGCTTTTCATTCAAAAGCTAAGTGAAAGTTAGTTATTTCCTTTTATTTTTCATACGTTTTTTTATATTTTATCTTGATGTTTCCATTCAAATGATAGAATTTTTAATTTTCCACATAAAATGAATCATTAGATGTGGTGTTTCAAATGCTAAAATGAACAAGAAGTGTAAAATCAAACATAAAAAGATCATCCTGAGCTGTATCTGTGTAGTTTAGTAGTTTTCAGAAACCTTTAAATACAAATCTAATATGCAGGTACACACTCCGTGTAAACAAAGCTCTCAGCTGAACTCACTAAACAACGCTGAAGTTTGATTTCACCTGTAAACAATTGTGGTGGAATCGGTAAAAAAAGTAGAATCTCAGAGACTTTTGAGAGAAAATATGGGTGAATCTGCTGCTAAATGCAAACAATAAGTCAAACTAGTGTCAAGGATTAAAAACTGTGAATTCAGCAGGACTTTGCTTTTAAAAACTTCTGCTAAACCGGTGAGTTATCACATTATTTCAGCTCAATCCCAAATGCATCTTTTATTGAAGTAGGGTTGGGCAGCATTGGCAAAAAAATTATTCATGGTTAATTGTGACATTTAACCGATAACGATGAATAGATGACAATTGCATTTGCATGTTTTTGACACCCTGTATTCTAAAATTATACAAAAAAAATCATCAGGCTAACTTTCTCTAATTAAGCGTTATCTTCTTTCAGCTTACTTTGCTACTCGTAAGGGACAGATTGACTCGGAGCATCGTGGATTACCAGTTGAGTAGATTATTTTCCATCATTCACTGTATGTTGTGTTTGTTGTAGTCGACATCATGGTTTGCATTTTCTGGCTTTACTTGTACTCCATTTTATAGTGGTGATTAAACAAGTTCGTAGAGTCAGAAGTAGCTCCACATTAGCATTAGCTCTGCACCGCAACGACTAAAAGAAGTCACTAATCGCAAAGTGCCAAATATTAACCAGTGACAGTTTTTCAGACGATCAGCTGCAAACGATACATTTTGCTCAAACCTATACGGAAGTTCCCATTGTTGACCTATTATTAATCATTTCCAGGAGTGGGCACAGTTCCGCTAATCCTCTATTAGTGGAACTAGCTTCTCATTTAGTGGATTAGTGTTTTTGTTAACTTTGGAAACCATTACTGTAAAACTTCTATTTTTATTCTGAATGTAAATAATAAATGAATAAAAATTATCACCTCATACAAGCAGTGCTGGACGTGTCACCRCGTGTAGCATCTTTAGCAGCTAAACTTCAAACTAACTTCAAATTGTTGTTTGACCAACTTCAAACAATGTTTAAAAAAAAAACAAGCTCGATTAAAGAGACGTTTTTATTCTGAAAGGGTTAAACTGGAAGTATGACAGGTTAGACAGGGTTATAACTGTTTTGGATTGGCTGATTTTTCCCCAGATGATCTCACCCACCTTCACATTAAACCAGTAGAAAACTAACAGGTTTGTGTCAGTCCCACCACTCATCAGCTGGAAGGAGATGAAACCTCTGTTTAATGGTTTCACATTAGAGGAGCTAATATTCTTGTTTAGTGGATTAGTGTTTAGTGAACCTAACTTTTTGGCTAACTGTGCCCACCACTGGTCGGTTTGGTTATTTCTGCTTCCAAATAATTTATTTAGGGACACATTAACCATCAATATGAAGAAATGACACGGTGCAGATTACCTGAATTGAAAGCTGAAGAAAGAAAATGGATGGAAAGACAAAAAAATTGGAGAGAGTTGTACGGGAGGAGCAGAAACAAGGAAAGACACGTGGAAGAAAGTGTGAATAGGAGGAGGAGAGGGGAGGGGCGCCGTTAGCAGGGCCTGTCAGGTGTTGTCAGGATGATGAATGGGAGGCCAGCGTGGGCTGTGAGGACTCTGATGGGAGCCGCTGAGCTTTACATCACTCTCCTGAGTGTTTGTGAAAGGTTATTAAAGGCGCTTAAATCACAGCTCTCTGACACCAGCAGCAGCCGCCAAACTTCCACAAAACCCCGAGCCGGTGACGGCGTCTCCGGAGTCCCGGGCATGGACACAAAAGCAAGGGGGGTGGGAACGGACAGAGCGGCTTTCGCAGGTGCCGATGTGCCCCGGCCGGCGGGGTGAGGAGGGGACGACGCTCAGGTAGATTGTCTTTTTCAGGAGAATAATGTAGGGTAACTGGGTTCAGCAGCAGTCATCCATCATTAGAGCTGCTCCACCACCGTGTTGGAATTAGGTGAAAGTCAATTTAATAGCAGCGAGCTGCAATTCTGACACAAAATTTATTTACGTTTCTGGTGTTTGCACTTCATTATCAGAGCACTTAAATCATTTCTAATGAAACCGACATTATTTGAAGGAATGCTAATCGTCTGTCGACTTGYGTGCCAAAGTTTTAAACMAAGATTTGATCCCGTTACTYATTAATGTCCAGGGTGACTTTTGGCTACACACACATCGTTTAGCTCAGGAGATGAAAAACAAATGGAAATCCAAAGTTTGAAACATCTCCATGAGTTCCATTAAATTAGGAAATGGACAGAAAAGGGAACACGTGTAAATCTTCCAAGAGCGAACCATCCTCACAAACCAAGTGATCGTACAAGAAGAAGAATAGTGAGAGAGGCCATAAAGACTCCTGGGAGCACAAGGAGCTACAAGACTGACCCAATGAGATAGGAGAAACTGCGCTTACAACGCCCAGCTCTTCACTGGTCTGAGTTTTATTGGAGAAAGCTCAGTGGTAGTCTAGATTGGTCCTCAAGGGCCGCTATTCTGCACGTTTTAAGTTTCTTGGCTTCTGCAGAAATTGAAGAGGTCAACACCATTGTGTTAGAGCAGAGAAACAAGTAAAACATGCAGGATGGAGTCCAACCAGAACCAATACTGGGACACCACTGGTTTTGACAAACTCTAGTCTAGATTAACAGCAGGAGTCACAGAATGAGTCTTAACACAAGTCAAACTATGTCTTTTTAGAGTTTTAAGTTTCAAAATAATTAAACTGATTCTTACCGTGGTAATTTCAAAGCTGCTGCATGCTTTAAGCAAGAAAAKYYTTKKKSCSRWWAARKTTKRAMYTWWTTYCYT